AGCCATAAACTCCAACGCAATCAAGCTCGTGTATAAGTGGTTCGAGAGGATAGAGGACCCGCCTTTTGCCAGTCCAGCCTTCGTCAATCGACCCTTCGCCAATCCACCCTTCATCAGGACAGCCGTTGCCTCTCAACGGAGGCACCGCGATGGAGCATGGGATGTCACCACTGCACCATCTCCTTGACAACAGCCCTTCGCCGCAGCATCGTCTGCTCGGCAATAGTCCTAGAGACAGAATTCCCACATTCGAGCAGCTCGCACGCAGACAGGACGAGTCAGACGACAGATTCGCCCGACGAATCTCCGAGGATGCTTCCAGCGTGTCGACGGACGCCCACGATGCCCACGTTGAAACTTCCTGGACGGTGTGGTCAGCGGAGTCAGAGGTTTCTGTTCCCGCTGCTCTCGCGACGTTCCAAAATCCCGCGCATCCTGCTTCGTATTACCCGCAGCCTAGCCAGGGGACCGACGTTGCTGCCGCATCTGCCGCCGCTCCTTCCGCTCATGGAGCTCCTGGAGCCGCGGGTTCGCTGCTCACCCAACTTCCCCCGCAGTTTTTGGAGGCGCTGAACTACATATCCGACCCGCAACCCGGCGAGACGGAAATTTGCGTGCTCTCGCTACACCTCGCCGGTGCGAAGGATATGAAACTCATGGCTCGCGACGCCGCGGTATGCAGTTCCATGGTTGAGATGGGATCAGCGAAAAAGCTGGTGTTGATTATAAACGGCGTGATAGGAGCGGAGGAAGTTAAGGATTTGATGGATTTCCGGTATCAAGTTGCTGAGGAGGCAGCTGCCGCGCTGCTGAATCTGTCTCTAGATAAGACCGCCAAGCACATGATGAGGAGCCATGGCGTCATCCCTTGCATTGTGAGATTGGCTGGCGTCACACGCAGCAGCCCAGCCAGCCATGATGACGGAGACGCCAGGGGTAGTCACGACTTACCCTACAACGCTCAGCAAGTTGACATCAGCAGCCGTTCCGACAATGGCGCCAGCACGCCGAGCACCAGCGCCGCGCGTTTGCGTCTCAGAGAGCTCGCAATGGAGATAATTCATAGTCTCGCTAAGGCGCCAGCACTGAAAGAGGAGTTAGTGGATCAGTTCGTGGTGAGGCCTGCTGAGGGAGCCAGCATGCAGCAAGAAGGGACGGATGCACGCGTTGTATACGCTCTACCTCCTATCAAAGTGCGGACCTGGTAGAATGGCTCTTGTCGATCGAGGCGCTGTGCCTTTGCTGCTGGAGGTGGCGCTGTGCGGTATGCAGACAGGCAGCCATCTGTATGCAGAGCAGTCTGATAGGTTCTTTGACAAGGCCTTGCACGCACTGGCTAATGTTTCCGAGGAGCAATCGGGGCGTTCTGCCCTGGTGAATAGCAAAACTGAATACTGGTTCGGTGAAATTGGTGCTGCTGGCTCCGACGTCTACCCTCAAAGTGGAAATGGAAGCTGCATTCAAGTTTCAGGACTGCAAGGGCTTTTCAAACTGCTTGCAAATGAGCGTGGGGTGATGAAACATCATGCTGTTTCAATTCTGCATCAGATTATAAAAAATGCTGGGAAAGGCAAAGCCAGAGAGCAAGTTTTGGAGGAGATATGGTTCTTGCTGCAGAAGGAAAAGCCGAGGCAGCATTTCAAGGCTTTAGCGAATGCTGGATCTCACAAATCTCAGCAACTTCTGATGGTTTTGTTTCCTGTTGAAGTTGTGAAACAAGCAGGAAAACACTGAACTTGTTCCTGCAAAACAGTTACCGTACAATACCCGTACTTATCTTTTGGCAATCTGTGTGTCCATTGCCTTTCAATACCCTGATTCGTGACCTTTTTTCAATTGTTGAAGGCACAGAAGCTGAATGAACTTTTGAGGGAATAATGGGTTATAATGGGTTGGGTTATCCTGCGGTGCAGGATATTGTTTTGTAATGTGTAGTGGTGCACTGGATTCTGGTATTGCGACTGATTCTTATGCCTCATGTGTCAGGTGTTCTTTTGTGTTGACTCATTACTGTACTTTTGAGTAATAGACTACTTTAGAAAGGTGACGAGGAGACAGCCGAAGTCATTGGCAAGCTGATCACTCCGGAAGCTGTTGTAGTGCATTAAGGCACTGCTGACCGTGCGAAGCAACACTATCAGCAATTTGGCTAACCAAAGTCAGATGATTGCCCAACATGTCTTCCAGGCGCACTGCTGTCCCCTTCATCTCCTCCATCGCTTGAAGCTCGGCCTGGCTCTGCTGTTTGAGTTGTATGTCGCAATCCTGCTCGTAGAAGGACAAAGCTTTGTCACGTAACTCTCAACCGATGCTAGCAGAAACCATGAGAGAAGAAACGCACCTCGTTCTTCTGCCTCAGAGTTTCCAGAGATGCTGCCCGGTTCTCAATCTCCACACGTGCCAGAAATTCTCGCCTTTTGCTGTCTTCTAAGCGTGCCTGTACTTCCTGCTGAGCGCACTGAGATACCTGCAACATCTCTTCCTCTTCCTGCACAACAAT